ATTCCTTATGGTCTGCCAATTAGATGGAAAGTGATCAGGTGAGGAACGTGAGAGCACGTTTGGGAGACATCAGAGAAAAAAAAAATAATAATGACGCATTATATTTTTCACCTTTCTACTTTCACTCAAATTTTCTAACAATGAGATGATGATAGATCACATTGGAATGTAGGTTTAACCAAGATTTTGTTGTTGCTTGGTGCAGTTTGTTAGAGCTATTTATAACTTTTTTGTTAAAAGAATTTGTGTTAGAATGTGTAATGTAATTTCTATTTGTAGGGTAAAAATAATTTAACTCGTTAAAAACAATTGATTATCTGAAAAGTTTAAAAAAAAAAGCTTTTGTGAGTTAAAATTTTTTTATTCTTATTTTTGATTATCAATTTTCAATTTGAAAAAAACTAACATAGTGAACCTTGACCTATTAAACATTATCTGGCTTAAGATTTTGTAATGGCAACATAATCTGACATACATGAGCAGATAAACAACACTGTTAACTTTTTTTGAAGGGCTATTGATTTGCGAGCTTTAGTAGGAGCACCTTAATGGACAAACCCTAGTTGCCTTGACAAAATGGGAAGTTGACATGCAACTTTTAAGATATTTAGCATCTCCTTTTACTCGAAACAAATTTTAAAGTGTGATAAAGTGTATTAATAAGAAAATTGGACAACTTTGTGTGCGAACAGTTTATTAATTTAGTGAATGTATGTGGGTGTTCCAATGGATTAGTTAAATTGTGTTAAAATGTGTGGACAAAATAGATAAAATTTTGCGATGGACAATTGGAATCCATTGTACCTGTTTGGTGCTCTGTTTTAACCCCTCTACATAAATAGTGGAGATTGTTAGCACCTCGGTGGTTGTGTTTGTAAATTAAATGTATAAATAAAATAAATAACAAAACATAAATAAATAATCTAGAAAATAATAAATTAAATTCCGAATTAATTGCTTACAGAAATTCTTAGTCGAGACTTGTGTTATACAGAATCTTCTTAAAGTAGATTTCGCCCTCGTTTGGTGCTTCGAGTTTTAACAACGTCTACTTCCCAGGATGCAACGACTACTACTTGGTTTACAACACTACAAACTCAAGTCTGGAGAACCAAAACTATGTTGTGATTCTCTCTTTTTCTTCTTAAAATTAAATGGTAGACAGATGCAGAAAACAGAAAGATGGAAAGGGAAGAAGAAAGACAAATGCTCAAAGAAAATTAGATGAATGAAATGTTGCAATGGCAGGCTATTTATAGAAGAACATGTGACTTTTTAGAACAGGTTTCAACGGGTAGAAACATGTTCGGAACAAAAACAAATTTGTTTGGGTGGAATTCAACAGATATGAACCTGTTCGGGTGGAGGAAAAAACTGGATAGATTTATTTTGAATTTTGAATATGAAATTCAAAAATAAATAAATAAATAAAATACAAATGTTTTTGGCTTAAAAAGATAAGTATTGGGTCAGATAAGCATAATCCAACCTCCCACCACACACCCACACCTAACTCGACCGAACGGACGACGGTGGGGCTCGTGTGTGTTTTGTTTTGAGTCTAATGGATCTAACCTACTTTACCCATCCACAAAACTTGGGTACCCTTTGGGGCCCATCCCAAGTATGGCAAGTTAGAGTTTATATACCCATATAAATCCTTAAGCCTTTCCAATGTGGAGTAAGCACATTTCACAAATGTGTTGGAAACCCACCTAAAGCTATTTTCACGAACTCAAAAATGCGCGTTGAATTCTCATTCATCCGGAAATGGTTTTGCGCAACCAAATACACAATGTTATTCACTACACGGTATTAAGTATGAACCCAATTAGAAATGTTAAAAATAACGCTTGGGTCCTATCTTAATTAATGCTCAAAGTTAGAAAAAAAAAAAAGATTTTATAAATCCATATTATAAAGCCATTTCCAACAATCCCCTATATGAATGGAATTTACGAAAACGGACATGCAACAAAATGCAGACAAAGAAAGAGTACATTAAGAAGATACACCACATCCAGATTGGTAGCTTTTGGCTTTGAACCTCTTTTAGTAAAAGCCTATCGGACTGACTTACTGGCTAACTAGTGGACACAATGCGTTGAACTATTCAGCTATTTGTGTAAGCCAAGACAATAGACTACACATAGTGTATCCGCATACACAGTTTGGTTCTTATGGTTGTGTTCATTTTGATCATGAATAATACCTGGTAATTTATGAGTGCTCTAGAGAATTTAACCTTCTCAATTCTCACAAAACCGACCCAGTTTACACTCATATAGGTGACTTCTTATTAAGAGTATCTTGCCATATCCCACTTGGATGTCCAAGCTATAAAAATCATTAAAAACAAAGCTTATTTTACTAACGCTGCAGGTATCACTCTTCCTATTATAGAAATGGGTATGAGTAAACTTCCTTAGTGATACATGAAGTCATCCATAATTGGGTTGTCCTTTTGAATCTAGATCTTGGGATCTCTAGTCATTTAGGTTGGGTTGCCATTATGGTGATTTTTAAATAATAGGCTTTAATCTCATTCTCCTCGATATATGGTGCACTTGCTCTCTGGCCAACCTTTTAGTCAATGGATCCGCAATATTCTTTTTTGACTTTATATATTCTATGGAAATTATTCTATGTGAGAGCAAATGCCGAATGGTATTATGTCTTCGACAAATGTATCGAGATTTATCGTTATATATACACTGCAAGAAAATATACTTTTGGCAACAACTTTTACTGACTAAAAATATTTTGGTTGCCCAAAGTTGTGAAATTGGCGCCCAAAAATTATGTTAGTTGACAAAAGTATAATATTTAGCTATTAAACTTTTTTAGTTGGGATATATTGATTATTAGCGACTAAAAAAAAAATTAGTCACCAAAAATGTCACAATTGGCGACTAAAAAAATATTTTAGTCACTCTATAGTTAGTTTTGGTTACTAAAATTATTTAGTCGTTGAATAACAAACAAAAATTAACTTTTTATTTTTGGCGACCAAACATTTGGTCGTCAAATATTTCAGTTACTAAAATTATTTAGTCGCCGAATGAAAAAAAAAAAATTACTTTTATCTTTGATGACTAAAAGTTTGGTCGCCAAATATTTGTTTTCAGCGACTAAAACAATTTTTAGTCGTTGTATCGTTAGTTTTGGTTACTAAAATTATTTAGTTGCCGAATGAAAAATAAAATGTCGCCAAATATTTATTTTCAGCGACTAAAAAATATTTTAGTTGCTGTATAGTTAGTTTTGTCCACTAAAATTATTTAGTCGCTGAATGAAAAACAAAAATTTACTTGTTATCCTTGGCGACCAAAAGTTTGGTTGCCAAATATTTATTTTTGTCGCCAAAGAACTAAAATATTTGAAAAGAGACATTTCAAATTTTGAAGGGACTTATAAAATATTTTCAGTAACTAAAAAATATGTTAGTTGCCAATAACCATACATATATATATATATATATTCTTCTTTTCCTTATTTTTTTGCCTTAAATTGAATTTGTTTCTCTGAAGGAGCTCTCTCTTTCCTAACTGTGGGTCATCAATCTCAATTTCTCAAGTCGTTTTGTATGTCCTTGCCACCATCGCTGACACCACCGGTGGTCTTTGCCGGTACATCTAACTGTAAGCCTCGTGGTGGTGATACCAGAGAGCAACTCATCGGTAGCGGTTGGGCTGGCGCTAGGGCTAGGGCTAGGGCTAGGGCTCCACACCAATTGAGCCACCGGCTTGACTAATTTGATGGTGGGTCCACCGTCGTTCTATGGAAACAAGTCGACCACGCTTGATCTTCTTGGGTTGGGGATTGGAGCTGGTGGAGCCTCCATTGCTGGCTTCTCGGCTTTGTTCACTTCCATTGAAAGTGGGCTTGATGTTGCGGTGGCGGTCCAGGAAATTAAGTTAGAGGGAGCACTAATTACAATTTAAAAAAAAAAAAAAATCATGATCAACATTAAGATAATAATAATTTTATGAGCTAAATTTAAGCATAAGAAATTAAAAATCATTATTAATAGGAACAAATCAAAATTCTATAATTGTGTGTGATAGCTCGGTGCAAGATGGTGATGTAAGTTTGTAATTTTAGCACAAAGAATTATGAATCAAAATTCCTAATTTTATAAAATAAAAAAATCATTTATAGCACAAATTATTATAAAATCTATTTAATTTTTATTTGACAGAAAATATTAAAGAGATGATACTGCTTATAAATAATGTGTTTTGAATGGAAACTATTACATAGTCTTAGAGTACCATATGGCGTTACTTATGTAATGCTCAAAGCATGAGAAATCACAAATCAAAGAAAGTAGTTTGTCAACTACCTAAAAATAATGAGTTAATTATATTTAATCCATAAGATTTCTCACTACATTATTGGTTTAGACTACTACATAAACAATACCACATAGTACTCCCAAAGTATCAAATAACTACTTATGAACAATACAATAAATCCTTGGCCAAAAAAAATATTAAAAAAAAAATACATTTTGTATATGACTACAAAACAAAAACAAAAAAAATTTCAAAATTGAGGGAAGGCACATGCCCCCCTGGCGGCGGCGGCTTCATTTGGAGGAGTGAATTCCTCGGCCGAAGAATGTTGGAAAGGTTCATCTAAAATTACATTTTTCTTGGCCAATTTTGCGGATTAACTTTTATTTAGTCGCAAAAAGTTTTCATTTGGCGACTAAATTAAAATTTGGTAGGCAAAAGGTTAGAGTTTTGCCGACTAATGTTTTGTAGTTGCCAAAATAGAATTTTTTGCGACCAAAATTGAAATTTGGTCGGCAAAGGTCAAACATGGAAGACCAAAAAAAAAGCGGGAATGAAAAAAATTTTAGTGACCAAAATAATTTGGTCATAGATAATAAAACGACGCCGTTTTGAATGTTATTTAAATAAATCGAAGGACAGCCGAGGGTAAGCTTCGGACTACCCACGGGCCGTGGGCCATTTTACACTCCTAACCGCGTACCACTCCTTATACGCACCTCATCGTCGATTCTCCTGCTCGATTGCAGTCACCAAAGTCGCTCATCCTCTGTCATCGCAGTTGCCTGTATCGTTTCTTTGACCAAGCATCAGAGGTGCTTCGAGAAGTACTTGAGCCTCCATTGTTAGGTATGTATTTTATCTCTATTTCTATCTATCTATCTATATGTTTGTCTATCTGTCTCTCTCTCTCTCTCTATTTGTGTTCCATAACTCCTCTTACTCACATGGTTGCTCTCTCTTTTCCCACCTAACAACACCACAATCACCATTTTTCTGCTACTACCAGTTTGCCTATCTTCAAACAACCCCGAGATCAGGTATGGGTCCTCTCTCTCTCTCTTTCGCTCAATTTCTCTATTTTCCCTAATTTTCAAAACCAATTTTTCTGTTTTCCCTAATTTTCAAAACCCTAATGAGTGAATGTTTGAAGGGATGGCCTCAAATCATACTCTCCAAACAATGCAAAAAATGAAAACTTATATATGTATATATATATATATATATATATGTATGTATATTCTTGTTTGTTCTAGTTGGGATGATAGAACACATGCAAGTATACCATATTTGCTTTATATAATTTGCTTATTAGTTGGGAATTTTGTGTATCACTGTTTGTATGATTTGGGTTATCCTTGGATAGCATGATCAATGATTTGTATCTCATCGATTGCCTTGTATGTACATAAATATATATATACTAGTGAGGGGGTTGCGTGCAAAGCACGCTAGCTGATACCCATTAAAATGCCCATTAATAAAAGGAGATAATAATATAATTTTGTTAATAAATTTGGTATTCTGGATGAATGGATGAATCATAGATGGAAAAAATGAAATAGAATTAAATGAAAAACATTATGGACTATTAAATGTGACAACAAATGAGGGGCATCTTGCATTCACGTTGCCTATTTGTATAAATCTGCAGATATGGGAGGAAGACAATGACTTAGCATGTTTTGAGGTCTACATGTAATGAACATGTGGAAAGTTCAATAGCTTTTGAGATACAACAAGAACTTGAAGTTTATGATCTGTAACAAGAATCAACGCACATCATATTTTTTTGATTTTCAAAATAGTACTATAAAAATAAAGTTCAAACTATTCATGCAGGAAGAGAATGAGAGTTGTAGTAGTAAGTGGGTCAGTACCCATTGTAAATAATATTGGATAATTTCCTTTCATAAGCAGTAAGAACCAAACCAAACCAAACCAAACCAAAAGTAATATTGAGTTGTGTCTAGCACATTGTAGTTCCAAACAGGCAACAACAAAAATATGTTACAAACCAAACCACCTAAGCCATACCAAACCAAAAATATATCACATTGTAGTAACCTATTACAAAAATATTTTAGTGTAGAGTGTTCTTTCTAGAGAGATTTGGCAGAGGGTACACTTGTTGCAGCTGAAATATTAGAAGCAGAATTTGTACCAACAGCAGTAGTTGAAATATCAGAAGCAACATTTGCACCAACAGTTGATGGAAATAGTTCTTTCTTTGCCTTGGGTTCTATTTGGACAGATTGTTGATGTGGTTTTTAAGCAAGAGTTATGAGGAGGGTTCTGCATCATCATTGTTCACTGATGTGATGACATGTTGAAGCATTGCTTGTCCACGGAACTGATATTGGCGAGGCTTTAGTTGAATAATGTGATATTCTGGCACATTCAATTTTGGAAGGGCTTCATTTGAAACTTTTCCATCCTGCATAATATATGTAGAATATTTAAAAAATTGGGAAGAAAAATAGTGAATTTGAAGATGAAGCATGTTAATTTATTTGACCTGTGTTGTATGCTTCATTAGGTCAGTAGATGAAATTGAAAAGAACTTTTCTGCACGATCTTGGAATATTGTTGCCATTATTGAACCTGAATTATCTTTGAGTTCAACTTGGAATTTGACTCTGTTTGTTTGTAGTAAATTATATGTTAGTTTTATTAAACATAAAACATTAGTTATATTAAAAGGCGTAGGGTTAGTTTGTTGTTACCTCAGTTCTGCAATAACTTCCTTTTTTTACAGTGGAAACAGTCGAAAACAGTTTGATATTTTGCATTTATGGATTTGTAGCAATTGTTGCAGCTCATGTACCAAAAAGATTGATCAAGTGAGGTGATGGACATAGTTGCTTTGACCCAATACATTTTTTAGTAACAGGTGATTAGGAGTGGTTACTAATGATATATTTAAGATGCTTATAGAGAAGAAGAATATGTATATGAAGCTTACCGCATTTGGAGAAGATGGAATGTTGCTGATGGAAATGATTTTATCTACTTTAGGACTTGGAGTTGTGATGTTTCGAACATGAGTTTCAAGTGGAGAAGGTAAAGTTCTAATGACTTCTTCATTTTGGATGCACCTGCATCAATTTATTTTGATATTAGTGTTTGTAAGAAATTATTATTTGAGTTAGAGTATTTGAATTAGATGGTACCAATTGTGAAGTTGGGGTTGAGCACAAAAGCTGATGTTGGTTTTGTTGATAATGATTGTCCTGTAAAAAATAAATTAAAAAAAATATGTTTTATATATTTTTAATATCTAATATAATGTGGTAAGATTATAATTACCGCGAAACGATGAGACTTTAAGCCTGACTACAATTAGAGTTGGGAATGATTGAGCAATAGCTTGCAATATCTCTCCTTCATTAGTGACAAACTGACCCCACAAAGTTAAAACTATTGGCATTAACCTGCTACAATTAAGAGAATTTGTTAGTATTGAAATCAAGTTATACTAAATACAAGTATACAAAATACTTACTCTTCATTAATGAGTACAATTTCTTGTGCAGTTGTGGTTTCATTTTCTGTTGTGATTGTTTTTGGTGGCTTAATTTGAACAACTGCTGCAAGAATATCTGTTATAGATACAAAAACAATAAGAGTATCTAATGAAAAAGTAAGTTGATAATTATTTATGTTGATCTAAAAAAATTACCTATGGATGATGTTTCATTGCCAAGATGGTCAGAGAATTCATTGAATGGTACGAAGTGATATGTTGGGGCATTGTTATCTTCATTATTGTTGTCAACATCTCGAATAATTGTGCTGGCAGTGATTGTCCATTGCCATTGCCATGATTGCGGTGTGATACGGTATTTTTCTTGTAGCAACTTCACAGCAGCATTTGAGACATAGTATGAGTTAAAAACTTTGAAGGTATCTTGGAACTGTTCTATTTGATCTTCATAAAGTATAGCTTGAACTTGTGTACCCTATACAAGTGGTATGTATGACAGAAGTTAATGAGGCAGTGGATTATGTAATTATGAATTAAATGAGAATTGTTATTGTTAAGAACCTAAAAAATGAATATAGTATATATTTTAAAATAAGATTTTCAAAGTGTAACATCTGCATCAGCCAAAATGAGCCTTTGATATCCTGTTGAGCCTGTTTTTGGGATTTGTGGATTCCACTTTTCCAAAACACGAATCTTTGCTGTCCATTGTTTAGTTGTGCTAGTTATTTTTTTGATAGGTGTTATTTCTTCATTCATCCTGCAAAATTTGTTGTAAGAAACAATTTAACAAGAATTTAATACAAGGATAATAGATAATTATAATAAATACAAATAAAATTAAAATTACATTACATAAGAGGGAATTTACCAAAAATTTACAACAAAAAAATAAATTATATACAGCCTGCAAGTGTCAGTAGTTCTTCATAAACAACATTTTTTGTGGTATTGTTATCCAAAGCATGTTGATTTGTTGGCGGAATGAGAACTTTAACATCTGCAGCAGTTGTAGCTCGTGATAGAGCAACATAAAGTCGTCCATGGAAGAATACTGGCTCTCGTAGGTAAAGACTTACTTTTTGTAATGTTTGGCCTTGTGCTTTATTTATTGTCATGGCAAAACATAACTTTACTGGGAATTGTGTTATAGTAAACTGAACTGGGTATTTTTGATGATTTGAGGGTTGCAATGGTATTCATGGTATGAAAACCATTTGTCATTTCCGATCCCTAACAGCAATTTCAGCACAAATGATGAAATCTTTGAGATCTCGACAAATAAGTCGCGTTCCATTGCACAAGCCTATTGAAGGATCTATGTTTCTTAAAGTCATGATCGGACTATTGATTTTCAATTCTAAATGATGAGGTGGGAGACCATTTGGTTCAAGAGAATTCAAGAAGTCTTCATATTGTCCTTGATCATTTGGATCGATTGTCTTGTCGATGCTTCTATATAATCTATCCTTTGTTGGGAATTGTTTGATCAACAAATCATTTATTTCTTGTACACAATCATTTTTTGGAGTGAGCACAACATGATTAATCATTGAAATTGGATCTTTTGAGTAGTTCTTGAGATTTGGAAAGACAGTTTGAATCAAGTCTTCGATAGAATTTTCAGCATTTGAAAAATTGTTAGAAATTATCACAGATGCTGGTATTTTGACTTTGTTTTGATCATTGACTGATTCAGATCCATTGCCAATGCGTAATAAGTAATTGCTGAAGGAAGGATCATGCCTTGCTCGCATATTTTCAGTCAACTTTATTTTCTCAATAGATTTCCATAATTCTGAATTGACCAAGCTAGCATCAATTGAATCATATTTTGTTCCTTTGGGATTGACTGGTGGTATTTGTCGAAAATCACCACCCAAAACTACAACTTTGCCTCCAAAGAGTAACTCTGACTCATTGATATCCTTTAGCATATCATTCAATGCCTCAATGTTTTGTCTCTTGGCCATGGGTGCCTCATCCCAATGATTAGTTTTGCAGTTCTCAAAAGATTTGGAAGCCCAGTTTGTTTACCTATGTTGCAAGATTTATATGTATCAACATCTATAGGTATTTTGAAACGAGAATGGGCCGTGCGGCCTCCTGGGAGAATAGAGGTTGCTACTCCAGATGTTGCTGTTGCAAGAGCAATGTAATTCTTGGATCTAATTGCTGCCAACAATGCCTTGTATAAAAAGGTTTTACCAGTGCCCCCAGGACCATCTATGAAAAAACACCCTTGCTTTCCTGAGAAGACCCTATTTAAGATTTTTTCAAATGCTGCTTTTTGTTCCGAGGATAATAGAGAAATAGGCTGGTAATCAGCTTCAGAAACAACAATATTCATTTCTTCTTCAATTTCGCGACAGGTATCTTGATTATCAGATGAGAGCACGTTGTTAGAGCAAATATTGAAATCTTTGATATCTTTGCCCATTGATTGAAGAGTTGAATTTATGCTTTGTAGAACTTTTTTGAAAATTTCTTGTTTTGAAAGATTTGTTGTTTTGGCATAATCCTCTGCCATGTAGTCTTTGAATTTTTCCCACAACTGCTTTGGATTATTAGGAGCACAATGAATGAGAATGGTTGCAAACAATCTTCTTAGAGAGTAAGGCATTTGGTAAGAGATTGCTTCTTCCAAGCATTGTTCAAGATTGTTGTTTGATTGTAAGAGACCATAGAGAAGGGCAGCTTCTCGAAAAGTTTTTGCTTTTCTTCCATTTATGGTTCTCAAGGATTCAAATGATGTAGGCCCTCTGATGTTGTTTAGAAGTAACCTAAGGTAATATCTTTCACCTTGTGCAGGATGTGCTGTGACAATGCGCCCAATAACATTGCCCTTTTTTCGCTCAGTCCACATTCTATCTTGTTGCCACCAAACAAAATGTTCAGGGAATTCCTTATATAAATATTTTGCAAGCTTTGCCTTTTCATTTGTCTTGTTCATCAAAAAGAATTCAGTTAACATTGTTTTCGAACGGATGGGATCATTTAACACAAAATTTAGGTCATCTGAAGGATTGAAAGTAACAAATTGTTGGTGCTCAAGGTGGATTTGAAGATGGATTACTGATGGGTATATGTCATTCAAAGAGAATGCATAAATTCTCCACATTGCCTCTGGAGGTGAAATCCATCTTGCCGACTGAAATTGTTGGATTTCATCTATGATTTCTGATTGATTTTCTTGAACAATATGGAATGCAATTTTATCATGGCCTTTGTAAATATACTTGTACAAATATTTGACAGCTTTGATTGTTGAACAAATTTCCACATGAATGTGGCAATCATATTTGGCAAGAAGATATGGATTGTACGGAACTACCCAACGGTTATCCAAAATTTGCCCTCTGATTTTCACTTGATTACCATCAGCACGATGCTTGTATATTGGGTATGAGTCTTTGGAAGATCTTGTTATAGGTTCAAAATTTTTGGGATAATGATTTTTGCATTTTCCATTCTTCATGCAAATGTTGTTTGGATTCATTTCACCACAAGGTCCATGCATCATGTGTTTGACCACCATAGAAAACAAATGAGGATGTTTTTTTTGATCAGGAAGTTCAGCGGATACGATTGTATCATAAGTATCAGGAGATAAAGGCTTTTGTCCAGGTGCTAGAATTAATAATAGATGCATATGTGGAAGACCTCTCTTTTGAAATTCAATGATAGACATATGCAACAACTTTCCCAAAGATTTGATGTTTTATGATGTCATCCTTCAGTTGTTCCATTTTTGCTCTAAAAACACGAGAGGTTAAATCTGGTCTATTTTAAGCTTCCTCATTAGGTCCTAACTCAGCTTTAATCTCTGGCCATGTTGGATTACAAGTCATTGTAAGAAAGATATCAGGTTTGCCAAATCACTGGACCAAAGCCATTGCATCAACATATCGACGTCTAAGATCTCTTGGACTACCTATGAATGACGGTGGTAGTACAACCCTGTGACCAATCTTTGAACCTCTACCTTCACCTGTTGTGACACTGTCTATGATTCCTTGATACAAATCAGCCCTAATTTCTCTCTGTTTGTTTCGAAAGAACTGAAGTCTAGATGTTTCAATCTTGACATACATATCAACACAATACTGTTGAAAGAGACGACCAGAGCGGAGTAAGATTGAAGAATCATTGGGTCGTATTTGAAGCTTGTAGTAGTAGTATTCATGACAAGAAATGGTAGTTTTCTTGTTCTTTTGTTTCTGAAACACTGAAATAATTTTTTTCTAGTTAGGAGTAAAAAAAATTTAATACTATTTAATTGATAAGGAGAGGATCTATTTACCTTGGGCTTCTTTTATGAGAAGGTCTGAAGCAGTAGGAGCTTGATGAACACATAATAGATTGTTGATGGCATGTGATTTTTGTTTGGTGTTTGTCAACTCTATCAATACCATAATGCCATCCAGATTCACCATATGGAAATAACAATGGATATTGTAATGGGTCATAACATCCAAAATACCATTGAACTTTTTCACTATGACCAGAAATTTGATGAACAACAATATCTCTTGAGATTTCTTTGGTTAAGACATCATTTTTAGACCAAATTGCTGCGACTTGTGAGGCTGAAGGTTGATTGTAGACTCTCTGATCTAACGATACATCAGATTTAATAATAATTTGTATAGAGTTCAAATGATCTATGTGTTTTAATCTCCTGAAGAAGATTGAATATGGATTTAGATGTGAAATATTTATGAGCCTTTAAAGAATAAGAAGATTTAGCTTTTCTGAAGATTTCATTCTATTTTGGATTTCATGATAAGTGTCATAAAAGAGCTGTAGATGACTAAGATTTTCATCAGAAGATGTAAGCTCATTAATGAAGTGATAAACTTGACCTTGTATCCTGAATGTATAGATCCCTTTATTTCTCCGACACAGTTTCTTGTCATATTTGACTCCAAAAGATGTGAAAGCAAAGCAATTGTTATATGTTCGAACATAGGTACGAAATTCTTTTGCTTTCTCAGAGTTAGATGTATATAACCAATCAAGTTTTGGAGGACAGTTACTGGAAACCAAAGAGACTTGTCCAGCCATACAACAAAAGCTATTAGGCTCAAGGTAAAACTTTTTTGCACCACAAAAGTTGCAAGGTCTTTGTAGTGGTAAGATAGCAGGTTGAGTTGGAATGCCGCATGTTTTTTTGTTAGAAGCCTTCCATATTCGCGAACTACAATTTTCTATGAAGCGGAAGATATAATTTTGTTATTTAGAAAGTTAAGCAAAGAAATTAATTTGTAAAGAATTTAAATTTAGAATCAACTTGCATCAGGTTTTGAGCGATGATTTGTTCCGGAAGTGGAACCTATGAAAATTAATTTGTGTTAATGTTAGATTTGTTGCTATAATTCTATTAGATAACTTATTTAAAGGAATAAGATTCAAACCTTTTTCATAAATACCGAAATAACTTATGTGGGATTTCCCTCTGTTGTCATTGCATGTAACAAAGCCGGATTGAACAGTTGAAATATGATTTCCTAATAAAAATAAGAAGAAAAAGAAAGAAACTAAATGAAATGTTTATCATATGATTTTAGAATTACTATGTTATTATGTAATCACGTTCAATATTTTTTCTTATCAGTTACCTATACGCAATTGTTGCTGATTTGAGTTGCTCCCTTGAATCAATAAATCTCTATTTTTTGTTGATGATGTGCGTTTCCTTTTTTTATCTTGACGGACGTCTATGGAATGTACCAGTAATTAATTTGGCAAATATGTTAGATTTACAAGAGATGAAATTTTTAAGTTAAGATTAGTAGTAAGATAACTAATCTTGATTTAAATCTAATGTTGATTTAAAGGAAAAATCAATACCGACAGAGTTTTCAGCTTGTGAAAGTAGATATTGTTTCTTTTTAGCATATGCCTCTCGCAGTCTTCTATTTTTTTCAAGTCTTTGTTTTTCTGTAAGCAGAGGAATAAAGTATATATGTAAAAGGTTAATATTTTAATGCTCTTTTCTTTTATATAAGTTATGGGTAAATATGTATACAACGAATGTTTGAACAGAAGTAAAAGTTTTAAAGTAAATTGTTTTGTACTTTTAACCAAAGATTGATCTGCATCTTCCTGGTCGGCACATAATCTTCATTTTCGCATTTTTGTGTTGCACAACTACATACTAAAACTACATAAAAGAAGTTTATTTTTGTATTAGTAGAACGAATGGATTGTATCGAGCTATGTCCTATGCTTAACAATACTATTTATGTGGAAAAACATTAAATGGTACTGATTGACATATGTATATCATAATATTCTAAAGATAAATAAATTAAAGAATGATAATTATTTGGAATATAACATGCAAAAAAATTATGAAAGGAACAAATTTTTAATTGTAGCTAAACAGTTAAAGCAAAGAGAACCTGGCAAAGCTCAGTTAACTTGGTAGGAGAGTGTGGAATTGTGACTACTGCAGATACAAAAAGAAAGGTAGTTTAGAAATTGAAAATAGCCAAATGGTTTGGATTGGACAGAAATCAAAAGATTGATATTTAAATTAAAGAATTTTTTTTTTTGTTATAACGCTCAAATAGTGGATATTTTTTTTAATTGTCCTTTATAATTATTAATAATGCTGTAAAAATGAAATTTTCAATTTTAAAGAAAAGCAAAACCCATATTTTAGCAAACAACAGTTATGGAAAAAAAAAAGTAACATTTTATTTTAAGGATTTGTAAGAGAAATTTATAGAAGTTTAATATGTGTATTTATTTTATATCAACTAATTTTAGAAAAATAGTTTTACTTTGAAAATTAGGACTAAATGCTAGAATAAATGAATAAATCATTGAATAAAAAAGTAAACGTTGGTATAGTTTACAATCATGTCAAAGTTGTAATATAAGGATAACAATACTGAGCAAAATGCAAATTGTCTTGGTTAAGAAGGAAAAGAATGTCTTTGATAGTGAAAATGTCTTTGATTTGGTGAAAATTTTAGTTCTCTGTTGATTTTATACAAGTTTGATTAAAGGATTTGACCTCATTTTCACAAAAAAAATCATCAAATTTTGGGGTTTGGTGAAGAATTGAAGATGCTGTAAACAGTTAAAAATTAAAGAGTAATAAATATAAATGAGAACTTACAATTCAATGCTAAATACTACAAAAGAAGAGCTTTTAATTTATAATTTATTATTTTTAAATAAATTTAATTTATAATTTATATTTTTTATTTAATATATAATTTTAAATTAACAACACTAAAAAAATAATTTAATTTAATATGTAAATTTAATTTTTTAACAACACTAAAAAAATTTAATTTATAAGGCCATAATTTATAATTTATTATTTTTAATTAAATTTAATTTATAATTTATAATTAAATTTTTTATTTAATATATAATTTTAAATTAACAACACTAAAAAAATAATTTAATTTAATATGTAAATTTAATTTTTTAACAACACTAAAAAAATTTAATTTATAAGGCCATAATTTATAATTTATTATTTTTAATTAAATTTAATTTATGATTTATAATTAAAAATTTTTATTTAATATATAATTTTAAATTAACAACGCTAAAAAAATAATTTATAAATGTTCAAAAGACTATTTTATCATTTTCTAATTGTTTGCTAAGTAATAGCATAGAGAGTAAAATTGACATTTCACAAAATAATCCCATGGAATACCAATCCCATGGTTTCTATCCCATCTCCCCCCATGGGATAGGATAGTCCCATATTTGTGGGATTAATAGTCCGGGGGGGACTATTAGTCCGAAGCAAAAAAAATGAAACAAACAATGGACTATTAGTTTGGTGGCACTAATAGTTCAATCCTACCCCCTAATCTTTCAAAACAAACACACCCTTAATATATATTACAAATGTGATTGAAATATAAATTTATAAAGAAAAACCAAATATTTAAATATTAAAAAATTTATGCCAAAAAAAAGTTTTTGAGATGTAAACAATTGAATAAAATGTATATTTGAATAATTTATTATTGTTTATAACTTAAAATTTGAACATCTAATTTTTATTGAGAAATTTATATCTAAACACCATTTATGATGTTTATTCAAAATTTGTATGGTGTGTAAATAAAATTCGCTAAGTGGAAATGATTAATTTGTGAATTGATTTGACATTTATTTTAATGCAAAAATCAGTAATAAGAGGAGTATATTTCACTTGGATCACAAAATTATAAAGATTATCTTTCTACAAAAATAAATAAAGGGGTAAAATAGTGAAGGGTTTTGATAAGTATGAGATTTCTCTAAAAATATAATGGTAAAAAAAATCAAATAATAATTTCAAAGAGTCAAACATTTTAAGTGGAGCTGATCAATTCATAAATTGATTTGACACGTTTAATGGAAAACCAGTAGCAAAATTGCTATATTTCACCTGTGGCTACCATGAAAAGGATCTGACATATTAAAAAAATTAATGATTAATGTCCATTTATTGATTGAACACCAAATGGACAATGCAACATGATAAATACTATATTTTTTTTAATATATAAAGATAAATATTGTGGTTTATACAAATTGTAATGTATATATAAACAACAATTAAAAATAATTTGGTTGCATTTTGTTAATATAAGTATTAACATTTAATTTAATGCATAAATTTAATTAATTGTTTTCTTGGGGGTATATATTTGACTGAAATTTATCTTATTTATTTGCTTTTGGATATTTTATATTTTTTAAACTCAAATAGTCAAATAGCAAGGTTTAATTTAATGTATACTCTCATAAATATTATAAAACATCCTGATTCAAAAGGACAAGATTAGAACTTCATTTTATAAATAAATATTATATATTTGGTACAAATTAGCGATGGTATAGCAACAACTCACTGCTCAAACCTTCGGAAAAAAACATAGCATAGCCAAAATGAGACAATATGACATGCAAATCAATAGGAATTTTAATAATATATTAATCAAAGAAAAAATAATAATAATTAAGCATATTAAATCTAGAAGGAAAATTTATATGCATTAAACTTAGCACAGGGTATGAGCACCTTAATAAAAGGTAACACTGTACTTGAAAAAGTTTAAATGCAATTGAAATAGGAGAGTATTAGAAAAAGAAAAAAACATAAATACAGAGAGTAGAAGAAAAATAAAGAATGCATACAAAAAAGTAGTACAACTTTTTACATGTGCATAAATACAAAAGCCAACAACTATAACTGCTTAAAATATTTGAAAATTATGTTTGGATCTTTATAACAAGCACACTGAACAACATGCAATATATATCTATATATAAAGAACTACATAACACAAAAATCTAAGACAAAACTAAGATGAGGCACTACTTTCATCATAACGCAACTCAAATTTAGAACCATCATATCTCTTTATAAATTCTTCTTTTTTTTTTTTTTAGCAATATCTTCTGAGATCTTTTTTTCATATTGAATAAGTAGCTCTAGCTTTGGGTATTCGGTGAGTAGAGCCGGCAAAGTTCCAGTTGATGCCTTGTTATAATAGATCTCCTCCCTCTTAAACCGTCGAAAGAACTCCTCGATTTCTTGTTTTAACTGAACGAATTCATTGATAGGTTCACTTGATATAGATGGCTTGGAAATCTCAGAACAATTGGGATTAAGGGCAACACAACAAGTTGTTGATTGATTAGTTGATGGAGAAAATGCAACCTTTTGCTTGCTATTGCCTCCAGTAAGAGGCCATGAATGACCTTTCATATTTAATATATGATTGCTGGAAGCAAGATAAAAAATAAACAAAATGGGCAAATATGAATATTTTGAAAAAACAGTTAAAAATATGATGAATTTAAATAGACAATATTCACATTAGTTTTTAACATTATGTGTTTTCAACCAAGACATTTTAATGAATATGAATACGATTCAAAGGCAATAAGTTTATCAAAGAATATTTCTTTCACAGTGCGAAAGAAAAAAGAAAAAAGAAGAAAGAAAAAAGGAAAAGATAAACAATTCATTCCTATGTTTGGTTGTACACTTTGAAATACACATTCATTCCTATGTTCTAAGCACATTCATTCAAGTTTTTATCAAAACCAGTCCACCAATGTAACCGTCCATTAGCAGTTCCAAGTATAACCCATTGAACACCCCAACATCTCATAATTTCAGACCAAACCACCCATCCAAAGAATTTGGATATAATAAAAATAATTTTACAATATACATAATTCATCTCATATCCTAAACATATTATATCTCATTATATCCAAATCCAATCTGGATAACTAAAGAAGGCCTATATGGCTAGAACCAACCAACCAATAGAGTAATCTAGTTTACAACTTAATTATTGGACTACAATTAACTACAAAACAAAGTTAACAATGCAATTAATCCAGAATAATGTTGGCACTGTTGACACTGTTTGTAGTGCTACCGATCAATTAATCTAAAGAAACAAGTGAATTTGTGATTACTGATAAACTAATCCAGAGACACAAGTGAATTTGTGATTTTTGACAATTTAGGATCATGTAAGTCTTGGTGGGTATTTCATTTATAAATTGACTGGATAACTAATTATACACATCATATTTTAGACATACTTCAATCTTTATTTTTTTGAAATATCACTAACTTGGTTGTTATTGTGTGACTCAGGAGGATTTCCTTTGGACTTTTCTAACTGTTGAAGTGAGGACACTACATATTGTGCAGAAGCAAAAGCAAGCTACAGGCACACACTTCTTATACACCCACATTTTTACGTTACATAAACTTATGATATATATATATGGTCCACTATAAAAACAAAAACAAAAAAAATACTTATTCTAATATTATATTACATGACAAAGGCATGGATGCGGTTTTTAAGGTGTATCCTCTTTTTTTCATTTATTTTTCCCCTTTTTTTCAAAGTCAATTGATTGACTTTGTGAAGCCGTAAGAGAGAGAGAGAGAGAGAGAGAGAGAGAGAGAGAGAGAGAGAGAGAGAGAGTCCGATGTTTGTTTATGTTATGCCTCTTTTCTTCATTATACTTAATTTGTTTAAAGCAACAGCTTTGTTTGATAATGTACATTGGCCCTGTTTGGTAGAGCTGTGGAAAAGCGTTTATAACTTATGCTTAGACAGCTTATAGCTTATACCTATGAACATAAGCTGATTTCTGACTTATAAATTAAGCATCTCCTGCCCCACTCAAAGAATAAGCTGATTTCTGACTTCCAAAAAGCTATAAGCTATAAGCTATATGCTAAACCAAACACATCAAAATAGCTTAAATTAAGCTGAAAGCTGAAATAAGCAGCTTTTAAGCTGTACCAAACAGGGCCATTGAAGGAGTCTTTGTTTTATTGTATTTGTAATGAACAAGCTCAGTTCGAATTGAAAAAAGTGTGCAACTGCTTCTGTGTGCTTCTCTGATATTTGCAATGAATATTTATTTGATTTATTATGTCTCTGCTCTAATTCTCAATTTGTCTAGATTGAACAATTATGCACCACAAAACTTAGATCAACAGAATGTGATGCCCATGGGAAATGATTTTTGGTTTCTCTGAGGTACTCTATTAAAAGTGACATACATTTTATTGAATAAAACTTTTTACCTTTTAAGTACTTTTCATCCTTACGAGTAAACAGAGTTGATTAATCAAAATTTAGCTAGGCTTGATAAAGATGTTTGAAACAATTAGTTTTGATTGCTTCAATACGAACCTCCCGTTTTGGTGGGTATTGTATGTTATTTATCTTTGTGTTTTCTTACCATGTGCACTAATTTTAATTTCTTTGACCTTACTATAAAGGATGTATATCAGAATTGTAAGGTTTATTATATTTTTTTCCCCAAAGTGTTAAGGAGGTCAGTGTAATTTACCTTATGTTCTATTTATCTTCAATTTCATTATGTTTTTCTTAAATTTTTCTTATACAGATCTCGTAGTTGTTCATTATATGTGCTATAAGATGCTTTGGTTTGATCTTTTATGAAGCTAAGTTGAGCTCCATTGCTAGAGGGTGGAGTTTAGCGACACAAAATAGTGATGTGTATTCTCTGAAACTTCTAGATTTTATTTTTTAATTTTTATGGATTTCTTATGTAGTGAAACTTTTGGGTTTTGTGTGGAGAAATAATCAATAGCTAAATTTTGTGATTTAGGAATTTCTGCAGCTTTTCTCCACTTTTATGCCCCACACCTCTTCCCCCCGAACTACCTGGATCTCACAAGTGAATCAAAAGTTCGATCTACATTGAATCTTCACCTGAATTGCACGATTGGCTTTCTAATGAATTTTGCATTGCTGTGTGGGTTTTGCCCAATTTTGAAGTACAATAAAAAACTTTTATGGCATTACATAGTTGGTGATTAATGGGTTTTTGCTAAGCTGTTTTTGCGGTTAAATTAAAAATTTGACATGTGGTATTCAGTTCGTTTGGGTATTGTGATTGTGGATTCCTATTTGGTTTCGTAATGAATTTTGCAATACTCTTATCATTTTAAAGAATTGTCAAGTATAATAAAGCCTTGTGTAACATTCTATGATTGGAGATTAATGGGTTCGATTACGCTTTTGTCTTTATGATTAACATGCTTTTGTCTTTATGTGGGTTTTTCTCAATTTTGAAGTATAATAAAAAACTTTTATGGCATTAGAAAATTCAAAATGCAAGGAATTTGTGGTGGTGTTAACAATGCATGACCTGGACAAGCATTGAGAAAATTCTCCTTTATTCATTCAAAGACAATTTCTTTATTAAAAATGTATTGTAGCAAACACAAATATTAAAAAATATTAATTAATGGACAACACAAAAAGGGGAAAAGAAAAGAAAAAAGGGGAAAAGATGAGAGGAAGCAGCGGCGTAGATGTAGGGAAGAAAGGGGGAACTCTAGACAACCCACATAGTTCTCTTAAGTCAAAGTTTGGTTGTACACTGGATAGATAAGAAAAATGAAAACAAAAGTGCAATTGTGAAATTATATCAAATGTTTTAGAGTTGATCATGCAAAATGCAAACATTTGTTTGTTGAAATTAACAAATTGTTTTCTAACTAAAAAGTAGCCTACTTCATAAAGGGAACACTTTTTGTTGTATAATTTATTCAATGCAGTTTTTGTTTTGTCTAAGTTGAAATAATGAACATATAATGCTTGAGATCATTATAACAATTATCTAAAACATTATGTGCGCAAATTATCAAGTAACAATTACCTTTAATTTGTGGTTTCAGAAATTATGATAGCTAAATATTGGAAGGTACTTACCTTGATCTTGTTAATCCTATGTATTTGACAGACTATATTGTTGTAACAAAATCCATTATTTCCCTGCAATAGAGACGAAGAAAGTGTAATCTTAGCCTACACCAACTCTCTTAAATCCCATATTTGTGCACACATAACCAGAGAAAGAAAAAATGCATATCCATGTCTAGATGATTGTTGTTATACACCTACAATTTATTTATTAAATGCTACACAAATGGAAAAAAAATAAATATGAAGCAAGTAACAAAATCTACTAAAGGTAAGAGAGGAAATTATAAAATTTATTGCAAACTCACATCACAAAGAAATATGAAACCACTAAATATGAAACAAATCATTGGCGAAGACTCCAATGGCTGTGTAGTTTTCCTCACATTTCTATTTAACCCTCCATAGTGGCCTAAGGCATTGACCCACCCAAAAAAAAAAAAAAAAAAGCAATGAAGAAAAAAGATTGGACCTTTAACCATTCAAATCAACGTTTAAAAGTGATCTTAAGAAATAGTTGAGGTTTATTGAACTTTTGACACAGATGATATATTTTTCAATTTAATCAAAGGAATAAAAAAGCAATACAAAGGTAGACCATAATAAAAAAATAAAAAATAAAATGAAAAGAATGTAATGTCAAAAGGGCGTTGTAAGCTTTGCAACCAAAAAGCAATTGGCGCTAATGATTTACACAGTTAATTTGATCATGTGTTAGATTGGTAAGCAAACTAAAGTATCTTGGGTAGATGATGCTACTTTAAATACATTCTTGGCTAATGTTGTTAATCAAAAGAAAAGGGAAGGAGAATGGAACATTATACTCTAACTAAGCATCAAGCAACATACAGTAGTTTAGGTATAAATGAAACTTTATGAAGTTTGATTTAGGCGGTAAGATTTAAAAAGTAGAAAAGAAAGAAACACAAACACCCATTGAAAAATTGATATTCATGAGTAACTAAAATCAATAAAATAAGTTCTTAACTAATATTACATAACACCTAATCTTCCAGATTACAAACACCCATAAGTCATGATCAAACACAAAAATAAAAAGCTAAGCCAGAGATAAGAAAAACTCTGTCTCTGGCTCTGTTTCTTTTCATCCACTTATGTTAACTGAACAATTTATTTGATTTGATGACTTTATGGGTTTCTATTTAGAGAGAGAGAGACGAGTATTACTTAAGAATTTACAAATAAAAAATGAAAAAATGTATATATATAGTGTAGATAATGTGTTATTATGTAATCATTGTAATAAATTATGTGAATATATATATATATATATATATATTCACATAATTTATTACAATGATTACATAATAACACATTATCTACACTATATATATACATTTTTTCATTTTTTATTTGTAAATTCTTAAGTAATACTCGTCTCTCTCTCTCTCTAAATAGAAACCCATAAAGTCATCAAATCAAATAAATTGTTCAGTTAACATAAGTGGATGAAAAGAAACAGAGCCAGAGACAGAGTGAACCACCATCGTTTGTTTACATGTCATATGATCTACCAATCAATAAAATCTAATTAGTTTAATTAGTTTTGAGACCGAATAGCTTAAATTTCGTAACTCGATCAATGTCTACATTTTCAAGGGAAAAAAACAAAACGAGGCAAAAAATAGCGCACTACCTCAAAATGAACAAGACAAAAAAAATCCTAATATTAAGCATAGAATCCCAAAGGCCTCAGCACAGAATATGATCAACAAAATTAATTTTTTAGCTCAAATTGTAAGCAAAATTGCAGAATAAAAATGAAAAAAATTAAATTAAATTAACTAATGAGAAAGAAAAAGAACACAGAACCAAAGAAAATTAAAACAATAATAAAATTGAAACCCTAATGAAAAACAAGAAGCCACAAAATATACACACAGTAAACATCATGCAAACAATAATAAAAAGAACAAAACCCTAACTAATTAACAGAACCAAAGAAAATTAAAACACTTTACAAACCCTAACTGGATCAAAATGAACCTAAAATCGAAATACCTAACATTCTTCATCTATGTCTTTACCTTAATAGAAGCTTGTGTCGTATTCTTCCATCCTTGGGCTCAATTTTCGTTTGATTCGCTGGTGAACTCTATGAACACCCACAAAATCAAACAAATCGGCACCACAGAGGAGACGTCATCCGTGGTCGCCAGAGGAGAAAGGAGGGAGGAGATCGGTGAGAGGAGAGAGGAGGGAGGAGATCGGTCAGAGTAGGGAGGAGGTGCTGGAATATCGGGGTCTGTGGAGGGAGATCGGCTTTGAGAAGAGAAGGGAGGGTGAGATCGGCTTTGAGAAGAGAAGGGAGGGTTATCTGGACAGATTATAGAGAGAGTGGGTACATGGATCCTTTGATTTGATAAACAGCTGTAAGAGCTATAAGTAATTTGAAGATATTTTTCCATCAATACCCTGGCATCTAAAGAAGCAAAGCTATAAAGCACAATGGCAAAATCGACTTTTCAACTATTACAAAACACTATTCATATTTGGCTGAAATTACTGTTCACGTTGCATCCGTGCTTTATATATATTGTATAGATATATATATATATATATATATAGAGAGAGAGAGAGAGAGAGAGAGGTTTGATCTGTTTCTCTGTAAAAAGGACTCTTTTTCATTATTATTATTATTATTATTTTATTTTTTCTCCTCCCAAAAGGCATATTCTTTGGGGTTTTGTAATACTTTATCTTTTAACGTTGCTTATTAACTGAATGAATGTGACTCACGCGAACTAATTGCTCTGGGGCTAGAGAGTTGTGACTGCTTCTTGTTTTTGTTTGTAGATCCCACATATATATCATCTTAGTGTATGAAGAAACAGCTGGGTTGACGGTCAATGATCCTGTTTTACGAAGACACAAGGTAATCTTGTTATGTTTTTTTACAATATTATTGTTAGAATTTTTGAGTTGTTATAGATTGAACATTAAATGCACTAACATTTAACTTGTTCATTGACATTACAGCCTTTGTCGGTGGAGTTGGGTCCTAGAATCTTGGGGAATATATTTGATGGTATTCAGGTTTGTGAAATATATGCTCCTTCATATTTCCCAACTTGAATGTTGTCTGAACAAAAACTTTTTGCAATTGGGTTTTTTTTATTATTAGCCTTTCTTAAGGAGGACATTTACCCACTGACAATCCATTTATTATTTAAAAATAATGTAGAGGCCTCTAAAGACCATCGCAAAGCGATTTGGTGATGTGTATATCCCTCGTGGTGTCTCTGTCCCGGCCCTTGACAAGGACACCCTTTGGGAATTCCAGCCTAAAAAAATAGGTAATCAAAGAGCATTTTACTTTAGTTGTTTTATTGACAATTGTTATGGCTTTTGTTTACATTAGAGAGCTAGAAAGACTTGATGCTTTATAGTTTAACGTCATCTGTCAGTGGCAAGTGAGGGAGGTCTTGTAACAGGGGGAGACTTATATGCTGTAAGTTTAACAATGCTTAACTTAGTTTACAGAAGTTTAAAAGTCCTTTCTGTAAAATTTTGTTGCCATATGTGTTTGGCATTTTTATTTTGTTGTTCTTCATCTAAGGTTGCCATGGTTAAATCATTATCCAGACTGTCTTTGAGAACAGTTTAGCGCAACACCATGTTGCACTTCCTCCTAATTCTATAGGAAAGATAACCTTCACCAGTTGGTCAATATTCATTAAAGGTTTGTCTAATTTATTTTTTGTTTTTGTCATTTAACGTTGGCTATTCTTTGTATGACATCCTTAAGGTCAAGTTAGTAATCTTTTGAACTATGTTTTATTTGCATTTACCATGCACCTGGACAATTTTGACTCAAATATATATGGTAGGAGTTTGTCCCTCCCATGCACCAGTCCTTGAGTATAAACTATATCCCTAGTCTATATCTTCATTTATAGACAATCATATAAGGATTCCGAAAGCTTCAAGTCCACCACCTAAATCAATGATTGTCTTGAATTCTTTCAGAATGAAAGCTTCATTAATCTTCCAGTCTTCAAAATAAATCTAAGGGTTTTTAGATTTAAATTAGATAAAAAATAAAAAGAAAGAAAGAAAGGTAATACTCATCTTACTAGACTTTTTAAAGTAGAGGCATCAGTGCCTAATCAATGTATCAATACAAACATTATAATTTTTTTTTTCCTTTTTGGTTGACTAGGAGGTTCATAATTACAAAACTTAGAACAAGCTCTGCAACGAACATCCAATGGCATCAACGTTATAAATTTGTAACAATTTGGTTAGGAATATCATAATACTGTATAATCATGTCCGTAGTTCCTAAACAAGATTTGCCAAAACGATATTCCAATAGAATTTCTCTCTCAATGCTTCTCCCACCTACAAATAGAAAAGATTATTCACACCAGATCCGACAGTGAAAACCAAAATGAATGGAAATGCAACTAAAGACAAGTTAGAATTGCAAGCTTAAAATGGACCATAGCAAAAGGAAGCTTAAAGGGGAAAAAATTTACTATTGTCATAATAATCTCTTATAGCAAAGAAAACAAGCATAGATAACATAGCAGACTCAAGCATAGGCTTGAATCCTTCCTTGAGCCAAGGACAAGGACATTTTATTTACCAAAAAGAGGCGATGACTAATAAAGAATTATAAAGATTTAGATATGAACCAAAAATAGCCACCCTTGCCCATAATCTTGCAAGTTCTCTCTCATGCTAAAAAGGGTAAGCAGGTAAGCACCTGGAAACAGAGCAGTCTAGTTGATTTTTATGGAAAGTATCAAGCTATGGATGTATGACCTGTACATCCAAAACATTTCATAATTATCTATAGAATTTATTATATTAAGCCTACAACTAAAGTCGGTGAAGCTTTGAAACCCTTTTCTTTTCTTTTCTTTTCTTTTTTTTTTCTTTTTGTTTTTAATTTCTGAAAATGCCCACACATGAACAATTACATAGGAGCAGTCAAATTGCTTCAATTTTTTTTCCAAAAAAAAAAAAAACTCTAAACTGTTTCGTTTGTAGATTTCATAGCACACAACTCGTGTGTGGATAACCACTAGCAATTCATATTCTTAATTTTGAAAACTGATCAAGAACTTTGGCTTTTAAACATAAAAAAGGTATTCCGTATGAGTCCCACAAAAAAAAAGCCAACAGATGAAACTAAATGCCAAAAGCAAATTATTAACCATAATTAAACTTAAAGAGACTAACCTTGAGTATAATTAGAGCAACAAAAAAAGGAAGAAGAGCAACAAAAAAAGGAAGAAGAGAAAAAAATAAAAGAGGCCGAGAATGCAAGATAACGTGAGGAGATGCAAAAGCAGATTTTTGGACTTTAGAGCATGTTGGCGCAAGTAATGGAAAATCTCAATCCACCAAAGTCCCTACCATAGCTAGTCATGGTAATGGGTAAGTGTATTAAACCAGATTGCATTATATTTATGTTAAAATTAAAGGGAAATAAATGTGTTATGAGAATATTATAGAAAAAATTGTGAGGCAAAAAGGGGAAAACATGTTGGGTCGGTGGACCCTGATAAGTACAGTTCACTCAACCCTACTATTCACTCAAACACTGGGTTCAATGTGGGGTTTTGGGTACTTTAGTAATTCCCATGTGCTTCCGTGTAACCCTAATTCTATAGTTATAAATAGATGAGGGGGCACCTCTTTTAGGTTAAGAGAGAGTTGTATTTTTTTTATCATAGTGAAAAACCGTAATAGTCGTGAACGTAGCCCTATTCTGGGGTGAACCATGTAAATCCTTATGTTCTTATGTGTGTGATTTGTTTGTTTCGTTTTTCTTCTTTGTTTGTTATTTCGTGTGTTACCGATCTTGGCTAGGAAGGGTCAATTCCTAACAACTGGTATCAGAGCATTGGTTTGAGTGGAAGCGATGGCTACAGACGAAAAGGTTAGAATCGATAAATTCAATGGCGCATATTTCAGTTTTTAGAAGATGCAGATTGAAGACTATCTGTATTAGAAAAAACTGTATGAGCCCCTTTCAAGGACAAAACCAGAAAAGATGAAGGATGATAAGTGGACTCTTCTTGATTGCCAAGTGCTAGGTGTTATTCGGCTAACGTTGTCTCGTAACGTTGCGTTTAACATAGCGAAGGAGAAGACTATAGCGGGTCTCATGGCGGCACTCTCAAACATGTATGAAAAACCCTTTGCTTCAAATAAAGTTTATTTGATGCGTAGATTGTTTAATCTGAGGATGACAGAAGGTGCTTCGGTGGCTAAGCATCTGAACGAATTCAATATTGTGATAACACAATTGAGTTCTATATCTATCAAATTTGATGATGAGGTTAGGGCTTTGATTCTTTTATCTAGTTTGCCAGAAAGTATGAATGGTACTGTAACGACAATAAGTAATTCTTCAGGAAAAGAAAAGTTGAATTACAATGATATTTGAGATTTAATTCTGAGTGAAGAAATTTGTAGGAGGGAATTAGGGCAAACATCAGGTTCTGCGCTAAATACAGAAGCTAGAGGAAGATCAGTAGGAAAAAATCCGAACTGCAACAGATCAAAATCTAAACACAGAAGCAAGTCAAGAACTAGAGAGGGACAGAGTTGCTGGAACTGTGGAAAGAAGGGACATCTAAAGGGAGATTGCTCAACATTGAATAAGAACAAAGGTGATTAACATCAGAAGTCAGCTAATGCTGCAACATGAGAGATTTATGATGTTTTGATCTTGAGTATTGACAGCCTTCTTGAATCTTGGATTTTAGATTCTGGGGTATCATTCCATTCTACTTCACATAGGGAAATCATGGACAATTACATTGGTGGTGATTTCGGGAAGGTTTACCTAGCTGATGATGAACCTTTGAAGATTGTGGGTAAAGGGGATGTAACAATCAAGTTGCCAAACGGATCTGTTTGGAAGATACAGAATGTCAGACATGTGCCTAGTTTGAAAAGAAATTTAATTTCTGTTGGACAACTTGATGATGAAGGTTATGTTGTAACCTTCATGGGTGGTTTGTGGAAAATCACCAAAGGAGCCATGGTTGTTGCTCTTGGTAAAAAAGTAGAAACCTTTTTACATAACTACGAACAATAAGGATGCAGTAGCAGTTGCTGGTGAGAAGGAAGAATCAAATATGTGGCACCAAAGGCTTGGGCATATGAGTCAAAAAGGGATGAATGTACTTGCATCTAAGGGGAAACTATCAGATTTAAAATCGGTGGATATTGACTTTTGTGAGGATTGCATCTTCAGCAAACAAAAGAGGGTTAGTTTTTCAAAGGATGGTTGGAAATTGAAGTCAAAAAAGTTGGAGTTGGTTCATACAGATGTGTGGGGACCTGCACCAGTTTCATCTCTTGGAGGAT